TATATATATATATATATTCCTTAAACTCGTATTATTTCAAAAAATTATGAAAATTATCAAAAAGATTCACAAAGCATCTATCTATGCTTGGAGGCGATATATTCCATTGGAATAAAAATGTGCAAACTACACAAAGAGTTTTAAAATTTCTTATTGGTGATAAAATATGATATCAGGAATAGCAACTCTAGATGTGATCACATTATTCTACAATTGATCTAACCACAAAATGTTGATTTCAAACTTTGAGATCTATATTGCCAGAAGTTTTTCTCTTGCTATATATATGCACAGATCAGAGTTTATATTATTTTGGGGTCGAGTATCTCCGAAGGGGTAAGCCCCTAATGTCAATTATATACTACGATAGGCTAAATATGACTGTCATTTCTACATCTCATAAATTTAAATTCAAGATTAGTGATTTTGAAATTTAAAGAGACTAGCTCATGCTAGAATAGTTTTTGTCGAATGCCAATAGTGGAAAACTATAAAACATTGGATACTAAGAAGTGTAGTCGTGTTCTGATATTTCATATAGTTGGGCTTTAAAATCTAAAAGATTAATGTCAATATCTGAGTTAATATTATTCATTTTTATTTTAGAAAGTTTAGGTCTTATAATCTAAGAAAATGAGTCATGAAAAATTTAAGAAATGACTTATCATATGGCAAGAGCCAATAAAATTATCTCAAAGTCTAAATTAAGGTGAGCTATATTGATACATGTACAAGAGTCGAACCTAGTCTAAGGAGATAAAAGTGGGACATACAAACTTTTCTCCCACCGAGGAGTGAAATTTAGCCCAACTCTTTTGAGGTTAAGACTCCAGTAGAGGGTGTTGCCAACTAAGACCTCCTATACTTAAAACCTATGAGTTCAAGTCACGATTACGAACAAAGTAAGTAGACTATTATTTATTAACAAGAATGTGTTGTGACCTATGACTCGACTCTAAAGATTGAGCGGCCTACGTAAAAATGAACCATGAATGCAAACTTCAGTGTATTGATTTTTTAATTAATTTTGAACCTGATTAATTTGTGATCGAAATCCATAGGTATGCAATCTATGCAGGCATGCATGCATGGAAAGTTAAATTAGGCAAATCAAGGTACGTACGACAAACAATTTTATATAATAAGGGTGATGATCTTCACAGCTTTGATCCCCATTTTTCAAGTAATAAGTAAGATGCTGAAACCAACGAAATGAATCTGTATGAATGCATATGGTTCATTTAATCGCATGATTCCTAATTATTAGCTAACAAATTAGTCAGTCATCAAGAAATTTAGTCGAAAAATTTGCTTACGATCATATTAGTGACTGATCACATTCTGACTGATTATAGTTCAATCGCTAATTATTATAGATTGATTAGTGACTGCACATTCTGTCAAAAAGGTGATTTCAACAAAATAAATTGGTTAGCAACTTTTGCAATTGAAAAATGATTGCCTTTCAACCATAAATGTTAGCTTTCAATCGTTAAATGGCTGAATTAGCAGCAGATTAAAAGATGAAATTTAACCCATTTAGAGACAGATTTTTCAATTGATATTTGGTTGGCAAACTGTAACAAAATAAGAAAAAAATCCTTTGCAAATATGATTTTACGCATTTGAAATAAAAGAACATCATCACTCACAATATATTCATATTCATAACATCACATAATAGAATAACGAAGATAGTATAGACAACAAAATAAATTGAAAATGTAACAAGCGTTGTGCTCATACAAAAAAAAAATCATCTAGCATAATAACATCCACAACATATATAAAAGAAGTAGTTCTACACAATCAAGGAAAAAGAAATAAGAAACTAATCATGTTGCTCCTCCTCGGCCTCCTCCTTAACCAATGCTCGCTTACTATGACCATGTATTGTGCACTGCTTAATCACCATCACTCTGGACTTTAAGTGACGTATAATAGCATTGTTAACTCGTAATTACTCACTCAGTGTGGCCACATGCATGGAGACTTCATCATCAATCGATGACAATCTATAGTCAGAATCAAAGTGTTATGTCTTATATACTAGTATATGTGCTTTGAGACCATATATCCTCTATATCTTCTTCCCCTAACAACTTCCCTTTAGATCTTGAATTAAAATGGTCAGATTGACCGGCAGAGCCATTGACACTTGATGGGCTCTAACAATGACTCTATTTTAGGCGCTCATAAATATCCTACAAAAAATTATAAAGGATTACTAGTATCAAATTTTGACTATAGTTAAATTACACAAATAAACTAAAATTTATTAAACTTATAGCACCACGATGAGATCGCTTGTAAACAAATTGGTGGTCTAGTTGGTGTAGATGTGTACATGTGTGCAAATCAGAGGAAATGAGTTCTCGGTCAAGCTACAACATATGTTAAAATATGAGAACGTTCAGAAAGAATCAGTTCAATGCAGAGAATCTGTTCAACATATGCATCTCCAATTGGCTTAATCTATATCCATCCTGAGGCGTTCATAACATGTTAGACAAGAATGGATGGGTCTACCTCGAAGGAAGATGAAGTTGGTTGTCTAGTGGGAGCTGTAGAAGTGGGGTAGAAGGTAGACAGAGGTGGCAATCTGGTGGAAGCTATTGGGGGGCGCGGGGTGGGAGGGGGGTAAATAAGAAGATAAAAGCCACAAAACAAATTAACTTTAGATAAATAATATAATGTAGATATAATTTTGACTACCAAGAACAATTAAATTTACATTTGTTATCTCCAACTGGCTTGATGTACATCCATCTTGAGGTGTCCAGATCATGCTAGAGAGATAGTTGTATTGGGGTGAAGCACAATAAGTAAGTTTTGAAACCATCAAGACTCAATTATGCTTAGCTCCAATTCTTGTCATCCCTAACTTTGATAAACATTTTCAAGTCAAAGGCAATGACTCAACTTGTGGAACGGATATTGTTCTTTTGCTAGAAGGTGGGATAATTGGATATTTCAATGAAAAATTAGGTCTGACTCGCCAAAAATGGTCCACTTTTGAACAAGAATTATATTTCTGAATTTAAAAACTAAAATAATGAAAATGTGATATTCTTCTTCAAGATTTTATCATTTATAGTGATCATCAATTCTGTAGTTTCTTAACTCCCAAAAAATTTTGAATCAGATGCGTATAAGTTTGGCTCAATTTCTCTAATATTTCAGATGTTTTCAAACATAAAGTTGGTCACTATAAAAAAGTTGTTAATACGCTTGGCAAATGATCCAGCTTACTCTTGGTTTTATGAATTAAAATTATTGCTTGGAGTTTGTAAAAGAGTTGTCGCAACCGATGTATATTTTGCCTCACCTTGAAGAAATGCCTAGCTCATGAGTTGGTTGATGATAATTCAATTTAGAGGCATTTTCTTTTTAAAGGTAACTAATTTCTTTTCTATGAACCAAGCTCATCAAGGATTTACATGGGGGATAATTAACAACTCATGTGGTATGGGATAAGACATTTGCGTGGGTACAATCAAAATTTCTTTGTCCAAAATTTCAAAGAGATGTTTAAATATTTGTTGAATGATTTCTATTTGTCAAACTTTCAAGGAAACTTCTCAAAACACAAGTTTATACACTCTACTTCCCACTCCTAACTCCATATTTGGGCGAGCCTTAATCAACATTTGTGGTGGGTTTATCGAAAACAAAACGGGTGTATAAATTCAATCATGGTAGTTGTGGACAAATTTTTGAAAATGCCTTATTTTATTGCCCATAAAAATTCGAGATTGTTAATATTTCATAGCTCTTTTTTTTAAGAAATAGTCCATCTTCGCAGTATTCCCCACAGCAACTTATAATCGAGATAAAAAATTAATGAGTCATCTTTGGCAAGAACTCTAGAAAAAATTTCAAACTCAATATGATGAGCAGACCAAGATTGTGAACATATCTCTATAAAATATGCTAAGGTAGCTTTGATGAGGAAGAACCAAAACAATGAGATGTATTTGATTTCAATTCAATTGTTAATCATAATTATAAAAGTTAATTACCAATTATTAATTTTGGTTTCTAGCTAAGCTGTAAATGTGGTACAAAATCTCACCTAGAGCTGCAAAAGGGACATTCATTTTGTTGCTCCTGATTTCAATTTTTCCTTCTTTCATTCTTTATCTCTATTCCGGGGAAAAAATTTGCGTGTGATAGACGTACGCAGCGCTTCGTACGATATTGAGATTATACCGAGGGTACAAGGGGGTTACATCCGAGGTATAACCCCTTGTAACCTCCCTGTAACATTTTGTAACCTACCTGTAACCTAAAATAAGTTTCGCACTTCTGTTATTATATATTAAGAATTTATTAGTAGGTTACAGGTAAGTTACAGAAGGTTATAGGGAGGTTACAAGGGGTTATACTGTACCGCGGATATAACCCCCTTATACCCTCGGTATAACCTCAATATTGTACACAGCGCTGCGTACGTCTATCGCAAGCAAATTTTTTCCCTATTCCGGTGGCATGTGCCATCACTTGTATATCATTATGAATATTGATAATTTCTGACACATCACTTAATTAATAGATATTCTTATCACATTCCTTCAATGCATCAACTTGTTAATATATCCACGTTAAAATAAACGAATACTTTGCTAAGTTGTAATTTTATTCTTAAAATGTATGCAAATAAATGCATTTTATGTAATATATTTGAGAATAATAGTATTATTTGACTCTTAAAAGAGGAATTTTCCTTGTGAAAATACCAAAAAAAAAATTATGAAGTTTTATTTCGTGAATATAGAAATTTACAATATTTCTAAGAAGAAAATAAAGCTTCAAATATTTTTCTCTCTCACGAAGTCGAGAAAATATTACATCAGGACTCCCAACGCAGTTTGCATTCGGAGTCCAATGGTGGGGGCATGTGTCAAGTAAGCCCCATCGCATTATGCTGGCATTGGCTAGCGTTAAAAACAGTGGAGCACACTTGACACGTGACGCCCCATCATTAGATTTTAAATGCATTCAGAGTCCTGATGTTATATTTTTTCCACGAAGTCTTAGAAGAGAGGCGTCAAAAATGACTACAAGTGACTTAAGATGATTCACGACTCTGTGAGAAACAATAAAGCTTTGGATTTCATACATTACAAAAAATAAGAAATTGGAGAGCCGTATATTAAGATTTTTATACCGTTTAGGTTATATATGGAGTTCACATAGACTTAAACCTATATATATATATATATATATATATATATATATATAGTTCATTTCATCACTCAAATTTTATAACTACGGCTTATATATATGAAGTTTTGGCTTACTATAAGATGGCATGTAAATTTTGAAGTTTTGGCTATGCATGCAAATGTTCCTAAGAATTATTAGCATAGAAATGCTGCTCCTAAAGATAAAATACACACAAAATAGGTACCACCATCATTCAATGTACTAACCTTTAAAAAAAATATTGAAGCGCTAAAATAATATAAACATAAATATCAAATTTTGCATTTTACAAATGAATACATAAAAACTCATGCAATATGCAAATGCCCCTAAATTATTCTATATAAACTTATTTAGGGAGTGTAATAATACTCATCAGTGAATAATGAGGACAAAATATCTGTAACAAAAAGACATTAACAGAACAGAGCCAACCAAAAGTGGAGGAGTGGCAGGGCTTTGGAAGCCATAATGAACACTGATGTTGACCAGTAAGACAACCAGCAGGTTTTATAAAATAACCATACAAATAAAATTCGCAAACAAGCCAAACTCATTAATGGTGTAATGCATTTCAACCTTCCAATGCTCAACAATGACAGTAAAATAAAACTGGAGAATCATTCTACAACCAATTAGGCTATATTAATTTTAAGCCCTGCATCAAACAGCGTCGATTGCTAAAAGGTTGTGCCAGGCAAGCACACATGAAAAGCTATTTTTCTTTTCAGAAAAAAAGCAAAAGAATGGGCAGAGTCATAGCTCAGCAATAAGAATTCGAGTTCACCGTCTCTGAACGGGTTTATAGAGAACGACCGTAACAAACTTATTACGAATGCGGTGCGTGATTCCCAAAGCCACCACAGATCTCGGACTCTCCCTGTTCTCTATGTATAGGTGGTTTAGGATCACATTTTGAGGAGATGGGAGGCTGCCCAAACCTTCTTGGCTTGCTGGGTAGCCGAGCAATGTGTGCTGCAAGTGGGGAGGAGCGAGCGGCGGATCTCGTGCTTCGTCTTCATTCCCAGGGATGGGGTTGTTGTAGCTGGACTCGGGAGATCTTGGGACTTCAAATCCCATTACGCAAGTCCCACCATCCTGCATCACAAGCAATCGGATAAATTTTGTGTTGGGGAGTGAGAATACAAGTGGATAAATGTCAGCACATACTTGATCATGTGCATTTGAACCATCCATTGCAGAAGTATCAATGAGACATGGAAAGGGCAAATCCTGCACACATCAAGAGAAAGGAATCAAACGCAAAAATACACAGAAGTTGTTAAATGTAACGTTTTCTAGACTAGGTGACATGAAGAACATGACATATGTTAACGTGGAAGTTATATAGAGTGATTAATGGCGTATAATCTATTAAGTGCACAAGTCAAATCCATTATAACGAACCTGATCATAATCATCACCGGTAATGATTAAAAAAAAGATCTTGAAGGGTTGACGATGACTGCTAAGGTCAGGTATAAAGGAAGCTAAAAGAAACATATAATAGACTCGACAATAAAACTGAAATCATAACTTAAAAACAATTCTTCCAGAGACTGACTAATTCTTTCAATATTTCCTGCAGCAGCCATATTAGCTTCGGAATCAAGCATGGGCCCACCCCACCTGGAGGCTGTTCTCATTTTTTGGGGAAAAAGAACGAATGCACTCAATGCCTCCATGCCAAAGATTGCAAGTCTCCCATGAGCCAAGCCTTTGCCCTAGGTCTGTCTATGTGGGAATCAAATATTACGCTCATGACAATACCTCAAGCCTTCGTTACTCATTAATCGCATGTGATTCCTCTATCAGTTTGATAGGCCTTCGGACAATGCCAAAAAGTAGTTGATTCATTTGTGAATTTTGGTCTCTCAATAGACATCAGAGAACTAACAAAATTTTAAGAATGGGTACAATCACAAAAAACAAAGAGCAACTGTATATATCCACATCATCGGTCACTACCTAATAATCCAATGTCTTCACAAATGAAGATAAGAATTTCTTTAAACTTTCCTCTAAAGAAAGCAAAGGTGTCCCCTAGCCATTTCCAACAGCCCTCTACAATATTAGGCCAACTGTTGGTCAACAAGCCTCAAAGCATGATTTAAATTAGGCAACATGAGACCTACCTCAACACTTTTTTGAAATACTTATAATAAAGGCTTATGTCTCATTGGGTATTCCCTAAGACTTACGCCTCATGTAAAGTGAGGCCCGAGCGCACCTCACCTTAGTTCTAGTGAGGCAAATGCAATCAGATATAGGATTTTATTTAAAATAAAAATTAAAAAAATAGCCTTAAGAAACATTCCTGAAATATAACACAAAACTAAGGATGTAATTAAAGTCACTACTATTATTATAGTCATAATTTTAAAATCTAATAAATAGTCTAATTAATTAATATTGTGATGAACCAAGAAAGTAAACGATATGCTAATGATTTCAATGAAGGCTCATCAAGTAATGAGTGCCAAGGATTTTTTTAATTTAGAAATTCCAGCCTTAATAGCTTGTTATATTCTTACTTTGATGAAGAATAGTAAAAGAGTATAAGAGAAGCTAATTGTATCAAATATACTTTGAATTATTATATCATTAGCTTACTTTGATGTTTGTACAACTCTTCTTATTCTATGATTTAATGTTTGAATATTTAACATGTTCTTATTTTAAACAATTTATTTATTACTCTTACAATTTTAAGATGTTAACATGTTCTATTTTAGCCTATTAATAGGTTAGTATGTTAATATTGCTTTTTACTACAAACATTGACTGTAGTACAATACTTTATGCTTTACCTATTTTTTTTTTTATTTTAATGCTTATGTACCAAAATGCCTTGAGGCTTACACTTCACCAAACACAAAAAAATGCTTCAATACTTAATTATGCAATTTTAAACTTTGCCTCAGAGTTTGATCTGCCTTCAAAAAGCATTTGTCATGTTGCCCGAATGTAGAGTGACTCTTTGGGAAAAGATGTCTGTCTATTTTGAAGAGCATCGTGAAGAGAAAAATCATCCCAATATAGCCAAACATATCTAATTTTAGGTACAGACCTGGAGCTTAAATTTACCAGCCAATTATAGCCATTAAATCTAAAGATGGACAACCCTAATAGTGCACCATTCAATGTGAAAGGACTAAAGATGAACAACAACAACAACAACAACAAAGCCTTAATCCAACTACATGGCTACATGAATCCTTTTTCTCCATTGCGTCTTATTTAGTGTCATAATTTCATTTAGTTCTAATAAATTAAGATCATTTTTTATACAATATGCCCAAGACTTCCTAGATCTACCTCTGCCTTTCTTAACATAAGTTGAATCTAAAACAACTACTCTCCTAATCGGATCATCAAATGGTCGACGTTTATTGTGACCAAACCATCTAAGACGAATTTATCTAATTTTATCCGTCACAAGAGCTACATCAACCCTATCACGGATATATTCATTAAAGATGAACATTAAAGGATATTTTTAAGTCACTTTAGAACAAATTATCAACCAATAATTAGCCACACATAAAAAATTTTAATCAATCAACAATCAAAGATCGACATCATGACCCTTAGGCCAAGCCCAGCCTATGGACTAATTCAGATAATTCCATGATACATCAATTATTGTGTGAAAAATACTTGAAGGCGACACTCATGCAACATAAATTATGAACTTTAAAATGACTGAAATCTTTAAAAATTATAAGACTTGAGATCCTCCTTTGTAGTTTAACAAATATATGGAACCTTTATATTACATCGGGGGGGCCCACAACAAGCTGCATCACTTCAAGGTCATTAAACTCAAAAAATTAAAAAAATTAAAAACTTTAGATTAAATATTATGTTAATATATAATACATAATAATGCACCAAAGCATGATAAAAAAAACTCAACAAAGTCTTTCAAAATCAGCTCAACCGACTCCATCAATTTTCAAACAATGTACTTGCATTCAGCCATACTTGTTTGTTGAACATCCCCACATAATAGCAACAGGAAGACATGCACATCAATGACAGCTAATCTCAATCCATAATAGAAATACGCAAAAGCCAAGAAACCAAATGCAACACACTAACTTCTACAACGAGCCCCAAGTCTCCATGACATGAGATTCACCAAAATACTTGACCCCACATTTACACACTTTTGACCTGATCAACTTTTGGAAATTTGACAGAAGACAACCCATACTTACCAAGTGTCCGTTTGGTTTGCTAAAAATGAAATTCAATGGAAAAGGTTTGCAGAGTACTATAATTATAACGTATTTGAAATATTTTTGAGTTGTTTGGTTCACTGTAAAAATAAACGTAAAATTTTATATTTTTTTGTTTGATTTGAAGTAAATTGAAAATACTATTTTTACTTGGGCAAAGAGTGGTGCGCAGCAGCCGACTACGGGTGGCAAAAGACTGCAGCCGACAAGTGGTCGGCAGCTGACGACAGAGGCAACAGACTACGGCGGATAGCAGGCGATGGGCGGCGGTGACGACGACAGTGGCTGTGGGCAGCGACAACAACGACTGCGGGAAACGAAGGCGGCGGAGGCGACTGCACAGGCGACGAAGGCGGCGGAGGGGGGTGGCAGTTGGCAATGACGAAGGCGGACGAAGGCGACGGAACCCGATGCGGCGGCGGAGGAGGGCGAAGGCGGCCGGCCAAGGCGGGGGCTAGCGAAGGCAGCGACATGCAACGACGGACGGAGAACGACTGACAGTGTACGACGGCAGCGGTGGGCTGTAGCGGCGAGCTAGCAGCAAGCTGTGGGGGCTTGCCTATAACATTTTACATGAATGTTGTAATTCAAATTCAGCCAAATCGGCTGAATTATAAATTCATACAAAATGAACTACCTAAACCCTAAACAGTGTAAACTTCAAATTCATTACTCAAATCCCTGTAAAAGAATTACAGTACACCACTAATTTAATCAACCAAACAGTCCCTAAGTACTGCATAAAAAATTTAGCTTTTCAACCCTCTGTCACTTATAAAGTAGCACACTAGGTCAACTCTGAAAAACAATATAATAGGATCTTAATCAGGTTATAAACTTCTACCACTAATACAAAACACAATAAAATTCCTTAATCAAAGGTATTCTCAACTCCATATCCACGATGTAATTAATGATCCATATCTAACCACTGAAAATTATTATCCAAGCCCATAATAAAATGATAGAATGCATTCAAAAATATGCTAGGAACCTTTTGTTCACAATTGATAAATAATGTTGATATACTGGACCAACAATATAAACTCAAGGAAACTAAATAATGGGGCTTAACTGGGCTAGCAAACATCCTCATGTAACCCCACACTATAAACTAACTCTCAACAACCAATCAAGCGCACATAAAATGTCCTCAATAAAAAGTGTTCTCGGCAACATATCCAAAATATAATTATTGATTTGTAGCAAACCACTTAACTTTATTGCATAAGCCCATAACGAGATGCTTGAATAGATTCAAAAAGGTTTTACACCTCTTTTATTCATTTGTAGCCAGCCTCCAACTTTATTGCATAAGCCCATAACGAGAGGCTTGAATAGATTCAAAAAGTTTCACATCTCTTTCATTCACCATTGATCAATCAATCAATTAAAGATACCCGAAGCATTATTTCAAGTTGTATAAATAAATTCAAGATACCCGAAGCATTATATCAAGTACTAGATGACTTTACTAGTTGCTTTCACCTGCTGAAAAGAATATGTTCTGCCTTATTTTTATGTTCCTTCTCTGGATGGTGACCGTGTGATGATTAAACTCCTATTATATGCAAGAACAGCACAACAGCGACTGTAAGCAGTGAATTTGCAAGCAGGGATAACAAAAGATTCAACTGAAAAAACTGAACAGCAGCAGCAATAAAACCTATTTATAAACAATTAGAAAAAAGAGAAAAATTCTTATCCAATCATAAATAAACAAATTAATTACTTCAAACTTAAGATAATTTAACAGCAAGTACCTTAATATTAATTTAAATTCACTTAATCTACTATAATTTGGAATTTCATCCAATGATCCATCTTCTAATCCTTGGTCTCCCTTACACGAGTTTTGATCAACGATCTAATCACAGTTACAACCCGAGTTTTGATCAACGATCTAATCACAGTTACAACCCCTGAGGAAACCCTCGTTGATCTCAATGGTAAGTTCTATGACTACTATTATCCAAATTTTTCATTAAAAAAATCGACAATTAAAACTTCAACAAACATCATTACTTCAATTTTCCCTAAAATTAAAACCTAAATGGTGACAATAGCTTCATCCTAAGGACTTCTATAAGGTAGACAATCAAATTGACAGCCCTTACAAGATTTGATCACTGGATTACTTCATCATTAGGGGTTTGCAATCACATAAAACCTTATAACTACAATTTCTTAAAATAAACCTCAATTCAATTTTGATAAGCAATCCAAGAAAAAATATGGAATATAATTCTCAATCCGCATGAGAGAATGCCAAGCTACTCTGCATCCGGTCCATACTTCCATAAATCCAAAAAGGTCCAAAAGAAGTATAACCAACTATAAGTACGCACGAGAACCTCTGAAGTCCACACCACTATAAATTTCTTTGTTTAAAAAGAGCTGCACGACCAATTAAGATGCAATAATGACAAACATTTCAAATTTTCAAAAAGGTAAGAGTAATAAGGTGTAGCTTCTGTCTCAAAAGTGAAGTTCCAAAATAGTTACAAGCACACTACGAGATCTTAGAGCTTGATCATAAGCAAAGACTTAAATCACCAAAGCTGTAAAATTTTCAATTTTGTCATTAATCCTAAAAGTTAAAATTCTATGGCATGAAATCAAGATTGGACTCCACCAAACTTTCCAACATAACAGCCTTCGTTTCACATAAAAAGGTTTTAACCTAGTATTAGACATGATCCTATTGCAGGATTTATCATCTAGTCAACTATGTTTCATTACAGTTTATCTTTCTACATTTATTTTCTTCTGTGTTTGTGTTTGTGTTTGTGCTTGGGGCGAGGGTTCTCAAGTCCCTCAAGGAAACTTTTCTTTGGTTATTTTAGGAGCATATTACTAATGATAAATTGTACAAAGATTGGGGGTGAACAAACATTTTGTTTTACCCTTTTCCCCCTCATCATCATCATTATCATTATCCCGACTATTCAATGTCAGTTTTATGTATCCTCACTTTCATTAATTATGTGTGATGATTGAAGTACTAAACATATTCCTCACAAATTAGTTTGAGCAACTTCTATCCATGCAAGCCTACCAAGTTTCCTTCCTCATAATCCTTCATTACAAATTTTGTCTAGCCATCTCATAAGTAGATTTATTTTTTTTAAAGTAAATGCCTAAACAACATAAATCTAATTTTAGATATTGTGAGCTCCAACCATTCGGCCAATAAAATGATTCCTTAATTTATCCTTCCAAATTTTATCATGCCTTCATCTTAACTTTTTAATTTGTTGCAATCAAATTAATATTCTCACACCCAATTGCGAAAAATGCCTCAATACCCAATTGCGCAATTTTAAATATTGATCTTCACTTCAGATACATCTAACTTAAATCAAAGACTCCAAACTTTTTATTACCTTCCTAGGATATTCTCATTTCTTATTATTTAGTATCAATTCTACCATGTAAAACAACCAAAATCTTTTTTCTTTTTTTTGCCTTGGCCAATAGGTATTTCAAGTGTAGACCTTTGCTATAAACATTGTAAGTCTCAAATAATATTTAACTTACATCACTTTAAAATAATATTTTTTTTCTTTGATAAGCATTCGTACTTTCTCAATGGTCCACACAATCTGTCTGCTAACATTAAAAAAAATGTTTGAAGACACTCCAAAATTGTTTATAGAAATCTGCTTAATCAAACAAGCAATCAAGTCTTGCATTGGCTTTTGGCTGAACAAAAGAATTCCAATTTGCCTTTTTGATAAACAAACTTAAAATATTAATAACATTTTCATACACTAACACATTATCATCGAGTAATTATTTATTTTGAATTGTTTTATAAAATTTAGTTATACATCCATGAGTAGAATTTTTTATTAAGTGGTCAAACTCTCTCATGGTTTTTACAGAATGACATTAATTTCCTTCTCATTCAAATGAAATTTATTTGACAATTGATAAGTTTGCACTTGAATGTAATTAAGCGCATTTTAATCTCGTAAATCATTAATTAAATGAAGTAAAACTCTCATTAAATTTTTATCTCGTCTTGCCAGCCATGGATCCTCCAAGAACCAGTCTAACTAGAACATCTATTGTCAAGGCCATTTAAGTCAGCCAAATATATATAAGTCAGCCAAATATATATAACTAGAACATCTATTGTCAAGGCCATTTAAGTCAGCCAAATATATATATTTTCTTCCTTGAGTTTACACTACAAAAAACCAACCAACTCTTATCAAGATTTTCTTTTTATAATAGCTTCTTATTCAACTTGAGGGGCTAAATACTGATCAAATTTATAATACCATCATAAATTATCTTAATGGAAACCATCCTTATCAGCAATCCTACTTATCTCAACAAAATTATAGTTCAACTATTTATTCACTAGTACTTAACTCCATTTTTTTTGTCAATCTTTCCAACATACAATAAATTGCAAACTTCTGCAATCTCCATAAATTATTCATCTTTTTCATTGAATTTCTTGTAAACAAGCAAATATTTATTCTCCAATTGTTCCATCAACCTCTTATGTTCTCATTCAATATCCCCAAATTCTATTAGTTCTAAAAGTTCACCCGTGATATTTTTTTACCATAATTGTGTAAGCTTATAACTCATCTCTTGCATGTGACATCTTAGCGAACCCTAGCCTACTTTTCATACAATCAATATTTTGTGTTGCGCCACTCCAATGGGGCAGCCCTAACTCTCCTCAAACTTGGATGCAACAATAAGATGAAATGTTTCTGCTATATCCTATTGGCATGTCCACCGAAAACCCAAAGCTTGAAATAATCAAGCAAGATTTCATATCAACAAAATTATGAAATCTATCTTCCCTTAGCAACTACATCACAGCTATTTTCATTGTCTTCATGGAAACGCTAGACTATGGAATCAACTGCTTTACTTACAAAAGTAAGCCAAATCTTCATTTTGATATTTGGATGAGGTCAAAAAAAGCTTTATATCAACAAAAGTTGCATCTTCAAAATCCACTAGTTCCCCAAAGATCAAAATAGTTATCTCTTGGTGTAGTTGAAGAAACTGCCTTTGAGTCATGAGTACTTGCACAGCTTCAAATGTATTTAACCAAAGCATCCACACAAATATTTACTATGAAAAATCACATGTTAACAAGTAGCTTTTGTAGGCTAAAGAGTTCCTAGCATATTGAAATCAAGCAGTGAAATTAGGAATATGGAAGTTTGCATTGACTTTCACTTCATCATGACCTTGGATAATGAACCAAACTCTTATGCTTTAACAAAATTCCATGATAATTGAACCCGAGCACAGCGCAAAAAATGAGATTTTTAACATCTTTGTACCGACGAATGCAAGTATAGTTCCTAATTTTTGAAGCCTCTTGGCACAGTAGTAAACGAGGTCGAAATTTGTACTATGCTGAACTTGAAGATATTAACTTGCTAGTCTTCAAATCATATGCAAAAATATTAGATGAGTTCATCAAATTTTTTCATTTAAATGCATTAACAAATGTGTAAATCTAAAACTATTTCATGGAAATTTTAGAGATTTGCACTGTTAACTTTAGCATTCATTGCAATCACCATCCATTAAATAAAATTAATACCTAAGGATTCCAAAGAGAAACGCAGACCCAAGCTATTCCCCTTTGATATTCTTCAACTCCAATTGCTCTCCTCAGCAAAATTTTATAAATCACCTTGAGAGAGGATAACAAATGTCAATAATGCAGAATAGAGCATGTTATGGCACAATGCAGCATGCAATCCTCAATCACATTTTCATGTTGTGGTGCAGAAGTTAAAAATTAAGCAAAGCCATTTGTGTTATGCAAGTATATCTTCCATAATGCATGCAAAATTTAATTTAGATACTGTAGAGTTACGAATTAAAGTTTATAATAATTATTATTTAGTTTTTTATTTCTATTGGATGATTTAGGGTTTCACTCAATACCGCTCAAATCTGGGGCATCTTGTGCAATGAAATGCAAGATGCAAGTTTCGTCTCAGCCTAGCCCCTCTACACTTCAATGCACATATTTTTTTAATATTTTGAGCCGTATTTGAAATGGTATGCTGCACATATGTTATGCGCTATGGCTCCACAACAACCTCTATTCTATTTTGCAATGTTCGCCTTTGACAAGAATGAAGACTAACTTCTCTTAAAAATGGCAATCATTGAGGAATAGTACAAAATATTAGTAAATGTCCACTAATATCAAAGATTTAAATTTGTTCATATAAACTTGATTAAACTAAATTAGGAAATGAGCATTACATTGAAGTAGCAGGAAACTTTGTACGATAATCTCCAATTTACAAGAATTTAAACTAGTAGGTTTTTTTAATATATTCAAAGGTTAAAAGCTTAATTTGATCAATTAAAAGAAATGTAAAATAGCTAATAAAGTAATAACATCAAAGCTCATTCATACAATGGCCTATATAAGACATACAAAGCTAAAGACTCGCTATCTTCTCTTATCATGAAAGTATTTAGATTCATGATAGATCAAGCGCCATATGCACGACTATCATATAATTACTTCAAAATGGCCAGGGGATAAGGGTTGAAAGTTTATAGTGATTTAGTAGTTTGAAATAATTACTATTTCACCTCCATTCGAAAACTGAAAATTAACATCCCCCATGATTCCAAACCACTGGGCCCAGATGATGATTATGAATGAAATTTCTTTCAATGCCCATAAAAAAAATTTAAAGTTGATGTATCAATACTTCTTTGAACTATGACCAATATTTTCAAAGGCATCATGCATGCTTAAGATAATATGGCTACCAAACAAGAAGCACATGGTCCTATCATAAGCAATAGCGAGTGTTGTACCATAAATAGTTATAACTTCTATATTTATTCACTTTTAAAGAATATTTTTAACAATATAAAATTTTAATCATTGTATTTAATTATATTGAAAAAATAATGACATCTCAAATTTTAATACCTTCCGAGATTGAAACACTTGCTAAACAAACTGCTTTAAGCAAGTGCAATTAAATTACTCAAGCAAAAATGAGTATACCAAGGAATCAATAGGAATCATCTAATCTTCAATGCTATTGTTTCCTTTATTATAAGTGTTTTCTTTACAAGCCTTGGATTTGTAAATCTGAATATCCTGTTCTACTATATTAGACGAGTCCCTTCATCTTAAATATTATAATTCTAAAAATAAGTTCTTACACCTAATATTCATTAGCTTATTTCTAATAATGCTCATTTGAAACCTCCCATGTTAAATCATAGAAAAAAAACTAACTTAACTTCAACATTTCAAGTATTAGCACCCATCTCTTAAAACACTGTAAGACACTCAACATTGCCCAGCACCCTAAAGCATGGCACTCAATAGGAATTCTTTAAAAATCATACTACCTAAGAAATAGAAAAGTGAAATGACTTCATCATGCATTACCACAACAGCCAAGCAGAGTAACCAACTCGCCTTTTAACAAAACATTTGAAATCTTTTTAAGGATGAAATGCATTACTTTTTTAGAACTTTATATAAAATAAAATAAAAGCATCAAAATGTGATTTATCTTGGATCGTTGCTTCCAAATGAAGGTGAATGTGGTTATGGTACCCAAAAGAGAGAGAGAGAGAGAGAGGGGTGGGGGGATTGAATTGGGTGTGTTTTAAAAATTTTCAATTTGAGCCTCTTTTAAAATTTAATTTTATTTTTTGTAGAAAACTTAGTTATGTTGATTAATTCTAAAGAACTTTAAGAGCAACAACCACAACAAAAACAAAACACACAAAAAAGAAAACACAAAGAAAACTTCTACGTGGTTCAGCCCTATGCCTATGTCCACGCCTAACCACCTCAACAAGGATCCTCCACTAAAACAAAATTGTGCTCTTTTGGGTTGGACAAAAACCTTTAAAAGAACACACTCTGCACTACATTTTTTCTCCGAATAAGTACTACAAACCAAAGCACTTTCTTCCAACAGACAAGTACTCCAAACATACCAAACCATGTACATTTCACAAGCTAAATACAAACCCTTACAACTCAAGACAAAAGGAAAAGAAAGGTTCAAGGGCTTTGCACTCACAAAAAGAATCACCCCTTAACCAAAGGACCCCCCCCCCCCCCACCACATCAAGGGCTTTGCACTCACAAAAAGAATCACCCCTTAACCAAAGGACCCCCCCCCACCCACAAAAAAAAAACAAATCAAGTCAATAAAAAATATCACAAAAATAAATTTCTCGTAATTTAAAAAAAAAATGCTAGAGATATGAAATGATAATAGCAAATTATTTTAGCAACATATTGCAATAGGTATTTGTAAGCACGGATTGATATTAAAATCATTAAATTAGATCAGAACAAATTGAACCTAACAAAAAATCTGAAAAAGAAATATTGTGAATATTAGGATATTAAAAATATCTTCAACTTAAAGATTTCAAGAAGATAAGCTTTTAAAAATAAGCCCATAAAAATTATAAAAACTTAGAAGACAAGTTGTGGAATACTCTCCCTTAGAAGAACATTAGTTAGAGTAGAACTTAAGTCATCATCATCTTCTTCTCAAAAAAAAGAGCTAGGGTTTCTCCACATAACACAAAGATATGCAAGTGCATAGAGCAAGAGAGGACTTGAAGAATTTGGGAACTCAAAGAGCTATGAGAATTTCAGCCAAATATATGGACTTCAAGCAACCCTAAATTTCATATTTCAAGTGATTTTATAAGCTCTTTGATGATGAAAATTGGGGGAATTTATTTTAGAAAGATTTCAAATTTAAGATTTAAATTTTAGAGGAAAATTAAATAATGAATTAAATTAAACAAATTAATCAAAACTTCAAAAAATAATTTCAGCCCATCTGGCCAATCATATGATTTGTTATAATTAATTAAGACTCCTTAATTCAATTTGAAGTATTACATAGTTAAGTTTTACCAATTTTGGATTTATTTTAAACAATAGATTAATAATCAAATCCAATTTCCATGGTTTAAGGAGTGGGGACGGCCAAACATTTCCAAGTTTAGATCAAATGATTCAATTGAATTAATTATGAATAGATTGCTGGAGATGTTACTTAAATTATTAATCAATTAATTGATTTAATTAAGGTTATTAAACAAGGATAAGGATTTATTAATTAAATCAATTGGTTGTATTTATTAAACTAGTTTTGAAATCAAGAATTACTAAATTAACTTTCTCATAATTTTAATAAAATATTTCTTGATAATTTGAATTTCAAATTTTATATAATAATTTATGACATGATTTAAATAATTTTAAACTGATTTGAATTAATTTTGGGATAATGATTATATTTATCTTTTTGGGAGAGAGAGAATGATAAAAATAATAATTCATTAAATATTCTCACTAAAATTTGTATAATTAATTTTGATACTTCAAATTATCATATTCATCATTTTGATTCAAGTTATTTCAAAATTTTTGATCATTTCATTATTGTTAAGTTGATATTATCAATTTGATAATGTAGGAAAGAGAAAAATAATTAGGATAATTCAAAATAATAATATAGATGGTTTACAAATTTTAGATCAAATTATGAACCAATTTCTATATTATTAATACTGTGATATTATTGGATTATAATGAACTCAATTTGAGGTTTAGGTGAGTGGTTTAAGAATGATTGCAAATGAAATACTCAACTTCTCTAACATGATATTTATTTGATTTTCATGTATTTTAGTTTTTACTTGAAAAACAGATGTCATGCAACATGCTATGATATGATCATAGAAGTATTGTCAGCAGTTATTTTAATATTATTTTTTAACAAGATTTGTTCAAATATCTAACTACTCAGCTCCATTCCTAGTCCAACTCACCGAGCTGACTGAACTGAGCTGAGCTTGATGCATCACTTGAAATATCTATATTAAATCATTAATACTCTCCACACATATGTTGGTTATCATCAAAACTCATGAACCTAGGGCTCGTAGGGGTCAACAGAACAAAATTGTGAAAATTTTTCATTACACGTCAATTAGTATACTTAAAATGAAATTATAAGACCAAAATTAAAGTTTTTAATAGCACACCATCTCAAAATTTGTAACTTAATGGAAAGTCTTCGATTGTTTATTCTCAACATTAGACATACTTTTAATGGTTTTTCTCCAATTAATCAAATCATAGATGACCGCATGTCTATTTTCCTCCTCATTAAATCTGATAATAAAAAGAGCATATATCATACATTAGAGTAGAGTTTCATCCTGGAAACATAAAGCATTTGGTGTAATAATATGGTCAAAAGGACAGCTAATTTACTAAATTCAACTTGAAGAACTACGTTAGCCAATGAAGTTTTTTAGTTAGTTGAGCAGGAAGAGCTACTGCACGAATGTGCAAAATATCCACTATTGTTTGGTTCTCTGAGTTGATATCGATAGGATAGTGAACCATTCAAAGTACAAAAGTCTAATCAACACAAAAATCTTAAAATTTTAGACTGCAACTCAAATGTAAAAAAAAGCATGTGAGTGCTCATAGAAAGAGATATAAGACAAGAAGAACGAGAAGCGAGTAGGGAGGAAATTTGAAGCTGTGTAGGACTAAGAGGAGGTTCATCAAGTATGAATCTTACTTTCCAGTTGCATTGGGACAGAAACAGAATTTAAAAAGGAGAAGGGCAGAGGTCATGGGTGAACAGAAATTCAGATCCGTTCAGACGAAGGATGGCAGAAAGAGGAGCTAGGGGTCAGGCAAACATGGTAAAGCGGACTGAACAACGCGAATAAATTAAGAGTCCAAAGGGAACTAAATCTATGACGTTCTCTCCGGAGAGAAACAGCACAGGACCGACGAATGAAGAAGGAACGTGAATAAGGAGAGGAAGGAGAAATAAATGGCAAAAGGCAGAAGAATGAAGAAAGAATGTGAGTATGGATGAGCAAGGGGTAAAGACCGATCTCATAACTAAGACCCAAGAAAACATCACCAAGAAAAAAATAATACAATGTATAACAAATCAGAATGTCAGTCTCCGTCAGCAGGGAATCGGAGCCATTGTGAAAAAGTAATGGGAAGACAGAAAGTGAGATGATGCGTGGAAAGACCACCCGTTCGCTGGTGAAAAATGATGATGGCGGAAATCAAACTCCAAAAGCAGCGCCATCTTCGCCACAGTAAAAGATAGAGACGACGGATCAAGGACAAAAAGAAGAATGAGATCGATGGAGAGTGAAAGTCATGGAGAAAGTGACAAATGTAGAAAGGAAGAACAGATTACTTGCCTTTTTAAGTAAATTTCGGTGATGACGGCTGATAATCGCTGACTTGTAAGCAGAAGATGAAGGCGTATCTCGTAGATAAACCAACCACGCCGGCGGTAAACCGCAAGAAAAATGATTACAGGGCGGCGATCTCAACGACGATGAAGAAAAGAAAATAGAACTGTCTGAAACCCTAACACGATGGTGCAAGATGGAAGGTGGAAAGCGTTCTATAATAAATAAAAATAAAAAACATATATATATAATAATAATGATACTAATAAAATTAATTTTGGGCTTCCCTATTTGATATTTTACTTTGTCCAATATATAATTTTTTTTTCATAGAAATAGCTTTATTCGGTTCCTTATGCATTCCATCGAAAAAATAATTACAAAAAAAGAAAAAAAAGACCTAACTAAAACCCTCCTAAAAATTAATTAGGTCCTCGTCCAATTACCTTAATCATACTAAGCTCGTTAATATTAATATATAACCAAAATGTTATGAAATACAGGCAATTCATGCAAGAATATATGTCGATAAAAAAGTATTCGGATTCGAGTTCATCTATCAATCCCAGAAAAAATCAATTAACATTCCAAATTGGGAAAAGTTGAAGCTTATTGTTTTAAGTATAATCTGAAGTGTTTAAGATTCAGTGATTTTAAAGTTATTAAAAAAAATTAGGGTAAGAGTAAAGCCGAAGTGAAAGAGGGAGAAAGTTGTGAGGTTTTCTATCAATTGTAAAGTTCTTCTCTCAATTGAATTTTTAAAAATCTAAGGGTCAGTTTGGGGCAGTTGTAGTTGTTTAATGAGGCAATTGTGAAGTTGTTGAAAAGAAAGCTGATGTTTAAAAAATTGTGATGGCTATTATAAACTAAAAAAAAGTCAGACCGTAAATTTCTAACAGTCACCTCAGACAGTGAGGTCTGGTGAGAAAATATTGAGAACACGAGCAAAACGTAAATTTGTCAAACAGAAAAGACTGTGGTGCGACACCGCACCAAACACACCTAAGGTCAACTATGTGATAAATTTTATGAGTGACAATCAGGAACAACTCTCATCCTTATCTCCTTCTAGGCGTCTAAGAGGGTGTGGAAAACAAAAAAAGTGCAGTCTCCTAAATCAAGTAATTTTCCTAGGATTTAGTATTTTCCTTTACGATTGCACTAACCTAGAAGCAATATTCATATTCTCCCAATTTAGTGTGAGAAAATCTAATTATTCCACTTGCCTGCTCTCGCAAAAATATATCAAAATAAATTTTAACTGACCAATTGGTTAGAATGATAGTAAATAAAAAGTAGAAGGTTAACATATCACCACTACGAAACTCTTGTTAAATCGCAATATAACAGTTAAATGCAAAATATCAAAATTACCAATCAAAAAGAAAAAGAAGAAACGACTCACAGGTCATGCTTTGAAACAACAAAACAAACACTTTATTCATTAAAGCAAATAAAAATACAAAGAGTTTGGAATGAAGCACCTCATAGAAAACACCGAGGAGATGCTACACTAACATTCTTTCCTCCTCCACAAGTTTCACTGATTACACAAGTAATTTAAACCAAAATTAATCACACACTCTCCTCATAAAAATCTCATCACACTTAGACAAGTATTTGAGACTCTGCACAGTGATTGAATACCTCCCTTAATGATTTGCCAAAGGAAATATATTCTCCCTTCGCGAAACAATGGAATTGAACCTTCAAAACCATCAAAATGAGTGTCCTCATGCTAAAATGTTCGAATATGGTACATGGGCACTAGACTGTAGCACATAGGCGCTGTAGGGCTAGTGCCCTTTTCCCCAACTCTATGTATGCCACGCCACTTTAGGCGCCTAGTTGCTGGTATGTGGCACCCAGGCATTGGACTATGATGCTTGGGCACATGATGCTTGGGCACCACGAAACTGACTGCCCATTTTTCACCTCTTTGTCTTGAGCCAGTTGAAAAGGATGGCATTGGGAGCTTGGGCATTGCTTGGTTGGCTCTTGGATGTTACTCCTATGCTTAGCCCCAAATTCTATCATTTGATCTCTCATCAATCTTCTTACCTAAATGCTGCAAAAATTTGACACAAACGCCTTCCAAAAGTATAAAATTAAAATAAAAATAGACTAAAACACATTAAAGATCATATTTCAAATATACATCAAATCCCTCCAAATTTACAAGTTATTTCTCCTCAAGTAATCTCATATCTAAAGGTAGACTCAATCAAACAATTTTATTGCTTATTGTTTAGGTATTTATTATTCTTCAATAATATCATAAAATTTCTTATAAACATATGCAAATATTATTAAAGAATTGGATTTTTATTAGCTCACAATAGTTTGGCATTTATTCAATTATCTATTTCCCTAGCATAATGAATCTTAGAACACTTAATTATGTTTGACTCAAATAAATTCATTAATCGAAGATAAATTTAAGTCATAAATTTATCAATCAAATTACTCCAAACTTCATTAATCTTCTCTTGAATATAATATCCAAGAGTTTCATTAAGAAAGCTTTTAACTTTTATAAAACCATAAAAGAATGGACACCAACCTTTGATTTTTTTATACTTAACCTCAAGCTTCTTCTCAAAGTTTCTATAATTTTTCTATTGTTAAATATCTTAGTCTTTTAAAATTTATCTTTTTAGTTTTTACATTTTCTTTTTTTCTCTAAAAATTATTATATCTAATTAAGTAAGTATTTTATTCATTTTGAATATCTAATCTGTCCTCAATTTATAAGTCTTAATTACTTAATGTATATTAAAATTTATTGCAATTTAATTAAAAATTAAGTTTAAGTTAGAGTAATTGAGTTCAAAATTGTGAACTTAAATATCTTTGATTAATTTATTGTATTTATAATCTCTCTTTCTTAAGTTTCAAGGATTTTTTATGCTAATTGCAAAAAATAATTAAAAAATGATGTTAAATTACTTAAATTAATTTTAGCTCTAATTTTAAAAGAATATGCACATCTTTTCCAAGTTATTATATAAATATTATTAAATTTCAATATATCTTACTATGATTTACTATTATAAGGTAAAGTCTAAACTTTAGGCATCCAAATTATTTTTAGGCAATTAAGCATGGACATTTTTCGCCCCAAACTTATTTTTTATTCTAAATATTCCGTTAAGGAATATCAACAACTGAAAAAAGGAATATCATGTATAAAAAAAGAGTTTTCATAACTATAATCAAATATAAAAGTTAAAATTTTCATATTACATGACAATATAACATAAAATAATTTGCACATTAATTGCAGCAAGTTATTACTAAAATAAACAAAAAATTAAATAAAGTTTAGAAAAACACATAAAAATTACAACACTACTAATCACATAAGTCTACATAAAGTGCATGTTATAACAATAGAACACAAATAGAACTCTACATTAGTGCATACCTTATATACAAATCTTTAATTCAAAACAAATAGAATAATATTCCTAAAAAACTGCAATCCATAAATCAATACAACCACATCATAAAACTAAAACACAATAATCAACAGAATTAAGTTGAGTCCAAACAGATCCATAAAATTAAATCTAATCCTCATCGTCATTCTCCTCCATTGGTTGGGTGGCATCATCATAAAGTTGAAAAGGTAGAGGAATAGGAAGCACTAAATGATCCAACTTCTTAGTCCACTGATTGCTCTAATATATATCATACTGAGCAACATGATACAAATCAAATCATGATATATCTCATACTAAGCAACATGATACCTTATAATCGAGAAATTAACTCAACCACATAATAAAAATAAAATACAACAATCAACATAACCAAGTCATGTTGAAAAGATCCATAAAATCAAATCTAATCCTCATCATCCTCATCCTCCACAGGTGGGTGTTATTGTCATAAAGCTAAGAAGATGGAGGAGTAGAAAACATTATGGGGTCTAAACCCACATTCCATTAATGCGCTAATACATCTCATACTGAGCAACATATTACTAACTCTGATACTCATATTGGTGTCTATGTTGCACTACATAGTTTTGTAAGAGCGCTAGGTGAGATCATGTATGTCTCACTATATAATAGGCGAGCCCTATGAAAGAGTTTTGATATACTTTGTGATAACAGTGATCGAGCAAAATGACAGGTTTGAGAAGAAGTAGGACGAGAAGAGCTCTCATTATGCACATGGATAGATGTTTTCACGTAAGAAAATATGATTAATTTGTTCATAGGGTTAGTGGAATGAATCTGCTCCTCCCAGCTCTCCAATTTATCTCTAGCTTTGATACATAAAGCATAAATAACAAAATGATTTCTGATGCAATGTACATTTGCATTATTTATTACTTGATTTACTGTGTTTTTTCACTATTTATCATGATTTTACACTTGCGAAAGATTCTCTTTGATATTTCACAGATTACAGAGGTTGCATGCACTATAGGGAGATAAAATATGAAAATGGCTAAGGAGCTTGACCGACATAACCACACCAAAATGCAGTGAAATTATGTAAGGACTGTTGTTGTTCTGACATAATTACTCTGACCTACAACGTGGTCATTCGGCTGTAGTGTGGCTATACCATGTCGCAATGTAGTCATGTTGTGGCTCAAACATGTTCAATTTGGAAAGCTTTTTTATGACAATTTTGGTAAGAATTATGTAATGAGATATTATGGGATGATTATGACACACTTGGACATGGTAGAGGCTACTTCATTTCACGTTTTAGTAACTCTTTGTCAACCCTATGTTTTCTCAAATGAATTTCCTTAGAAAAGATTCCTAAGGTTGTTTCATGTGAGTTTGGCGAGGTTGTGAGGAGAGTAAGTGAAATCATATGAGGAAGATCGACGAAAAGTTTGGATTGAATGGAATGAGTTACAATGTATTGCAAGGACTGATTGACTCGAGTTTGTGCTCTCTGCACTTCTTGAATTTTTTTCTTTTTATGTCAACAATAATATTTTTTGTAAATTTTTTTTCTCATGCATGCTGGTTAATCTCATTTTAATTCTCTTATGATGTAAGGTATGTGGTCTTCTAGATATTTCCCTACATTTTTTTTCGTTCTTGGATTTTATATTTTGATGTTTTAACTTTCTTATCTTAATTTACTTTGATTTTGACCTGATATAAAGTTACAATCTTTTATGATATAGGAGTTCTAATAATTATCAAGAAGAACAAGTACATTGACATACAATAACCTGGTGGAATAGACATTATCA